CACACACACACGCACACACCTGAGCTGTTGTTGTCTGAAAACAAGCAGTCAGCAAACAATGAATCCTGTTAAAAAGCCATTAACACTGAGAGAGGTAGAGAGGTCAAGAATGACAGAGATAGGAGAGAGAATGAAAGAAAGAAAGAGAGAACGAAAGAAGAGCGAACAAAGAACGAAAGAATGAAAGAAAGAAAGAAGAGCAAATACGTCAGAAATGTGAAAAATAAAAATAAACAAGGGCAAGAAAACAAAGGCAGAGGGAGCATCAGAGACAAACAGACAAAAGTGAGCGAGGAGGAGGAGAGAGAATGACCTCAGTCTGAACTCAGTGGTGAACTTCTGCCTCAGTGTACTCCAGTTAACCTGTCTCACACACACACACACACACACGCACACACACACGCACACACACACACACACACACACACACACACACACACATTGCCAGGAGGCACATTTTCAGCTTATATAATGGAGAGCAGGATAATATGTGTGTTTCCAGTTCAGCTTTGGAGGCATGAATGGGAGCTGATCCCAGCATTACTCATGTCAGCACTGGCTTCTCTCTCTCTCTCTCTCCCTCCCTTCTGTCTCTCTCACACACACACACACACACGCACTAGCAGGCCTCAGCCCAGAGGTGACCTACAGTTTGTCAAAGCAAACAGGTCCCAGCAGAGAAAACATGAAATTGGACAGAAAAACAGGCTGAGTCCATCACTGTCTGCTAAATACCATCATTCCAACGCAAAGATAAACATTATATTACAGTATAATATAGAGTTTGGACCTGACAAGAGGACTGGAGTGAGATGAGTGATGTAGAATAAATAAGTCTGGGGTAAAGAAAGCTAAAATTCATACAATTTAGATGAAACGAACTAGTGAAAACATCATGAGGATTATTCTACATATTCTGCCAATAGATCCCTTTCACCTAAATCTTACACACTGGACCTTTAACATCTGAGACTAAAGATCAGTTTGTGCTGTACGATACACAGGCAGTTGTGTTTTTACACAAAGATGACAACAAAGCATTAATGACAAACCAAGTGACACAAATTTATTTTTACTTGTCCACACAAATGTATGTTGAAGTTAAATAATGCGTTTTTAAATTTCCTGAATGGTAAATGGTTTGTATTTATATGCAGCTTTTCTAGTCTTGATGACCACTCAAAGCTCTTCACAGTTCAGTTTTATATTCACCCTGTCACACACACATTCATACAGTGCATCTATTAGCAGTTCTTTTCTCTGTGAGAAGGTGCAATATGGGGCTCAGTATCTTGCCCAAGGACACTTCAGCATGCAGACTAGGAATTGTGCATAGCTTAGCCACGTGGATTCATGCAACAACAACACATCTCAGGATCGTATTATGGAACTAAACCACTGGTCACTTGTCTTTGAAGCATCTTTTAATTCTTATGATTACATATTATTTTATCTTATTTTCATAAACTAAGATCACTTTACAAGAAAATCACTGCATATTGTGCTACATTGTACCAAGGTAAAGAAAGACTAGCACAGCATATTTACTCTAAAAGGCTTTTCTCATCTCTTATGTGATGTGATGTTGTGTTATGTTAATGTTTGCACATTGTAACTGGCTCTAACTGCAGCCAAACAAGGCAAAGTGTCAGGATTTAGCTCTGTTTCCACTTTCCTGCCATTTTTTCCTTCGCCTGTGTGTTTGTCCCCATTTTGACCTTGGTCCTGTGTGTGTGTGTGTGTGTGTGTGTGCGTGTGTGTGGTGTGTGGACTGTTAACAACTGTTTCCTGCCAACTCACCTGCACACCTGTGGTCCATCACCTCCGCTGCAGTGTTTCAGTCCGGCTCATTCTTCCAGACTCCACCAGATCGTATAACTGTTGGCATTCAGTGTTAATGGTGTAAACTCAGAATGGGGGGGGGGGGGGGGGGGGGGGGGGGTTGTTGGCTCACCTCGATGCCAGCAGTGGAGGTTGTCACAGAGCCGGATGTCTGAGTTAAAGGGATGATAGCTGGTGTGGTGGGACGGATGCCAATGTTGATGTGTTACATGTCACGCCTCTGATTATGAATGCCAGCACGTAATCTAAAATCACACACTGGGCAGCAATATGATGTTGGTTCAGGCGGGATAACGAGGGGTTTTAATGGAGATGTAGCAGGGTCTCCACATTAAAAGGGACTTATGTGAGATCAGAGACTGTGAGATGTTTTGTGCACTGGTGAGCGATAAAGGACGAAGAACGTTGCAGCACAAAAGAACTCGATCATCTGAATTAAAGTGGCACGTTACCTTCAAAATACCTTAAGTGGCTTTAATCAAGAATGGAACTTTAATATCATTCATTCATGTCTGTGGCAGCCGCTCCAGAGACTTTCAAAACGACAGGTTACAACTGTGGTGTGAGTGAGCTGTCTCAGAGTGGCTCCCTGCACAGCCCTCAGAAACTGGTATTTCATCATACCTGCCACAACTGGCTGACTCCCAGTGCACAGAGAGACCCATCACTGAGTTATTCACATGAGTCCATCTCTTGCCACATGCAATGAAAACCAGTGAGGTCTTCATGGTATCAAATAACTGAAGCTACAGTCATAACCAGCATCTGCTCTGTATCTAACAATGGTAATATTCAGTATAGCAGGACTCCAAGGTCGAGTGATATTGACTTCTGGGTAGAAGGCTTGTTGATGGAGACTATGCTGAAAACTGCATGTACCAGTGTTGGTGCTGTAACCTCCAAGCTTGCAGCTGAGTGTATATTTTGAAAAGAAAGAAGAGGGCACAGAAAGCTGCTCCGCCCCTGGAGCACACACACCCGAGGACTTTTGTGGATTAAGGCAAATGACAAGGAAGAGGAAACCATGAGCTGGACCCGGGGAACTCCACAGCATCCAGTTCCTGACTGGGATTACACATTTTACACGGCAGGCAAATCTCATGATGGCAAATCTGTTGAGTGGGGATGGTTCACAGATTCACATCAGTGGAGGAGCATTAAAGTTCAGGCCCAAGCGTGCACACGATTACATTTAGGATGAACTTGTGAAGCATTGCTTCTTCAGAAACTGATGAATTAATCTATGATTTCTAGTCGAGGCCCTGTGCCTTTATTATTTAGAAATGTGACAAATTATATCTGGAAAACACTCTGATCTCCAAATGCAGAGCCACTGTACAGGGTTAGCATTCGCACACGTGCTGCCTCTCATTTCAGACTAGTCCTCCCCAGAGAATGACTTCACACCTCCTCCTCCAGCTTTCTGAATAATGAGGTTGAACAGATGAAATACTGAGGGACAAAAGATCCTAGACGTTCTGCAGTGACAGGAGGCAAAGCTCATTTCCATTTGGAAATGTGTTCTGTTTTCTGCGAGGAGAGTGGTCACCATCACTGGAAACACAACTAACATGGAATAACAGCACCATCTAGTGGTGATAATGAGACAATGCAAATTCCATCACATGTTCCCATTATTGCTTTGAAACAACTGTATGTGAGACTCCAGGAGTCTGAGGTCATGATGTCAACTTCTTCCGAAGTTAGTGTTTTTCCTGGATGAGCTTCAGTGTAACACAAATGGTGACTTGAACTTGACTACGTCTACGTCTTCAGCTTTTACATACATAGTGTAACCCCTTATTTCTTCACAACAAATTAATAGTTAGTTGTTAGGAGGGGTGATGTGCTGAATGAATCGTTCATCTGTCATTTAATTATCAGGCAATCTTTGCCTGTTCATTATTGATCAACACACATGGATTCCGTTGGGATAATGAGTTCTCATGATGCAGCAGAGACAAGTAAAAGTGACTGATAAGGAGCAATTTTCCGAAGTGAAGTGTGACTGTGTTGTCAGAGTTGTTTCTGCTCTTTCAATTGGTTAATATCATTTTTAAAATCTACTGCTGTCATCTAATGAACTTAATGAAGAAATTAGCAAAGTCACGGTGAGAGACATTTATTAGCTCTTAAATTCATGCCTTAAATGTCTGCACATTCAGTGAGAATGTTTACGGAGTCTCAGCATCAAAACCATGACACCAAACGTTTGATAAATCCATTTTAATGGAAAATGTAAAACCCTTTTGAACTTCAATGTACAAAGCATTTAACACTTGCACTTTAAAATTTGAAATTGAAGCAAGCCATATTTTAAAAAAATACTTCAGTGAAAGTATATATTTACACATTACAGTTAAGTTTTTCATTATTTTACTTTTACTTCAAAGGTTCACTATAGTAAATCTTAACAAAACAAAAAACAAGACAATTATTTTCTTAAATAAATTACATCTTTTTTGTAAATGTCTCCATTTTACAGAGAATACTTTTTCATAAAATGCTGAGTGTATAAGTCATTTTGTTTTTTCTTTACATAATACAACTTTACACAGTCTTTACAATAGTTTGGCAGTTCATTTTCAAAAATGTATTTATGGCATGAGGACTGTAGAGCATCAACATTTCCCAAGGTTACAGGCATTAGCTGGTGTGTGTGTGTGCGTGCGTGCGTGTGTGTGTGTGTGTGTATATGTGTGTGTGCATGTGTGTATGTTTGTTTGTGTGTGTGTGTGTGTGTCCTCCATCACAGTAGAGCCGTATTACAACTGAAAACCACATATCAAAAAAAAAAGAGAAACTGTACAGGTCACATTTACATGAATGCTTTTTGTCTCAATAACACTGCATCATCACAGAGCTATAAAATAAATACATCTTCACAGAGGAAATAAAACAATGTTGGTATGAAAAAGAAAATTAAGAAACAAAACAGCAACAGACAGACAGAACTAGAAAAAGGACAAGACGAGACAAGTTACAGATGAGACAAGTAAAGAGGGAGCAGCAGAGACTGCTGACTGAAATATCTGAGATTCATGTTTTGCATTTTTCCCCCTCAAATCCTTTTTTTTTTCTTGATTTTTTTTTTAACATCAGAAATGACAGTTTAGATCCTGATGCTGCTGGTGATGCTGTCGTGATCAGCGAAATCTTCTGTCCAAGACGTTGTGTGGCCAGCTACAGACAGGGATTAAACCTCCTGGCCGTTTAATTCCACAGCAGATTACAGAGCGCAGCAGGGGGCTCAGTGCGTCTTCTCAGTCTCCATCATCACTGCTGCTTACAGGTCAGTCCCAGTCTCCATGGAAACGGGATCTTAGCATGATGCACCGTCACAGTCACAGAAAATCAGTTCGGTTGTCTTACAGTGGAGGTTTGAAGTGGCTTTAACAAGGCTCACACTCTTCCACACAGGTCCTCTGTCCTGCCTGTGTTCAGCGTGTTCCCACTGAGGTTTGATCCCTGTCGGTCCAGAGGCTTCTGCTCTTCTGTTCGTCTTCTCTTGGCACTCAAGGTTTGGGCTGATGATGATCGAGGTGGGCGTGCCTCTCATTAGCCACCTGGATGAGTGAGACAGGTGGAGCTCACATGACCAGCTCCGACCCAACCACCTCTTGTGGCCACGTGACACAGACCTCCATGTGAAGTGCAGGGCGTGTTGAGGGGGGAGGTGCTGATGGGAGTGGTGTCCCTCTCTGGAAGGCGTGGATGAGGCCAAGGGGACGTCATGAGTTCTCTTCCTCATTGTCTTCCTCAGAGCTGCTCCTCTTCAGCGAGCTCACCGCCTCCTTCACACAGTGGAACAGGATGTTCTTCACCTGACGAGGAAGAGGGGGGGCAGGGTTTAACAGCTGAGCTGATTCTACAACAGTTTCATAACAAACAAGACTTTTGGGTTTTATGTACTTTTCTAGAACAGGCTTGGATTTTGGTTGTTTACTACAAAACTAATGAAATGACAAGTGAAAAACTGAATTTGACCTGAAGGATAAATTCACTATTTCTCAAGCGGGGCCATAAACAATAATCAGGTTCCCATATGAACCCTGACACAGGCTTCTGTTGCTGTAATAATTCCTCCGCTTCACAATTATGGTAAAGCAATTGCTTCATGATACACTTTCAGTCAAAGTGAAGGAGACGCCATCCACAGTTGCAAAAAATTTATTCTAAAGTTGACTTGAGGCCAATAATTTGAAATTGCAGCAGTTCCAGACGTGCACTACAATAGACTCAGTTTATTAGTTCTCTGTAATCAATAATGTATTGCATGTCCACACCTGTCTTTATTCACCCCACCATACCCAGCCAAAACCAAGGGACAAGTCCTCTAAAGTGGTGTCTGAGGTGGATCTGTGTTCGGGCCTCTGACAGAGATCCAGAGTTTCTCAGGTGTAGTGACTACATGGAGTGGAGGTCTCCCCTGACTAAAAGCTGTTTGATATCAGTATATACTCCGGCAAACCTGTTCTGAGATGGGACTCACTGACCGAATTTAGAATTATTTTTCATTCCTGTAAATTATTCCTCAGTGCAAAGTCTGGAAAACCACTCCTCCGACTACATCATCACTTCCACTCTGGTAAATGTTCATGTATATTGTTGAGATTCAGTGGGTGTGAACTGTCCCAGTCTAAGTGAAACGTATCTGCATCTTACCTCAACAGTGATACTGTTATCACTGCACAAAAGTATTTTCATAAAACCCCTCTTTAGAGTTATGATGGTTCATTTGTGCACATCTAGACAGACAGAGCACAGCATGCAGTGTTGATACACTTGATCATGATTTTCAATTGGTACTAATTATCCTGCAGCAATGATCAGATGCTTGTTGTGTTGTTAAGTAGAACCACACAGAGCTGAACACTTCTCCTACCCAGCAGCCTGTGTGTGTGGGTCTGTATGTGTGTGTGTGTACTCTGCTTGAGTACAGACAGACAGAAGATGGAGGGTGACTCATCTCATTTACAGCCCGAGTGTGTGTGGACTGTTTACAGAGCAGCCACACTCCACATCTAAAATACATCACCAAAGATGACTCACTGTGCCTTTCTGTCTCTCATTGCTTTATACACAAACACACTCACACAAATATTGATCCACCAGTTTATCATAAAGATCAACTCTCATGTGAGTGATAAAAGACCAGGAGCAGTTCCTGAGTGTTAACTGCTGCACTGCCAAATTAAGATTATTAATGATAACGTGATAATTATTAGCAGGATTTCAACTGGTCAAATATGGCAGAAAGGATATTTAATGATGTGATGTTGCCCGAACTGCTGTCACCTGTAGTTTATCCTCGTAGTTGACCTCCTCTTTACTGGGCCGCAGCTCCTGGGTCAGATGGTAGGAGTTGGCCACGTGCTCAGGAGACACAAAGTCATTGATGACCTGAACACAGCTGTGAAGGTTCTGGACCTGAGAGAGGAGAGAGGAGGGAGGAGAGAGGAGAGAGGAGAGAGGAGAGAGGAGAGAGGAGAGAGGGCGTTGCAACAATCAGAAAATAATAATCAAATCAGCAGGTCATAAACAGGCTGATCATCAGCACAGCAGCACACAACAACTAGTAGCAAAATGTAATGTCAACGCACATATTCTATCACCTATAAAAGGTATGACAACTATTAAAAACTATTCATTTTCATTTATTAAGATTAAAAGAGTTTAAATATAAATCCAATACAACTGAAGTAACTGGTGACCAAAGCTTCATACGAACTAAAAAAACTGAAGAAACATAACATGCCTCCATACTGCTCGTAAATTATAACCCAAAAATTGGTGTCAATGATATGGTGTAGAGTCGAATGTGAATGCCAACACTTGGATGACACTACATGAGCAGTATGGAGGCATGTTAAGTTTTTTTCTGTTGTTTTATTACATCTGAAGAAAGATTCAACACTGTTTACCCCAGAGACTCTTAAAGTGTTTTGTGGACTCAAACACTTCAACCGCACCTCCATAGGTATGGTGGTGAGCAGATAATTAGTGCATTTCATTTCTGGGTGAACTATCCCTTTAAGATTTGGGAAATTTGTCCTATTTTGGTAAGTTGAATATGACCTGGGTTTTGACAAGTTCATTGTTAGTGTTAGGCTCACGTAGTAAGGGAGCAGTCTCCATTTGAGGGAAGACCAGCAGTTTATTATCCGTCTGTTCCTGTGTTTGTTATTTAAGATATTTTCTCTGCACATAGCTCAGTCTCTATGTAATGTAAACAGCAGCCAGATTAATTTTTCCTTCAGCCAACTAATCCTACTTCATGACTGGAAAAACCTGCAAAGTACCAGGTAATATATCTTAAATCAGCTGGAACATTGGGGGGGTAAGCAACATGGTAAAACGCAGTAAAATATTTACCCATTTAAAGTCTTTTAATTCTGACATTATTTCTTCAGGAAACTCATCTCAAGGTTATTAAAGACTGAAACCTATCTGGACTGGTCAGGTTTTTCATTCTAGTTTTAATTATAAAGCAAGAGATACTCTTCTCATTCTAATTATGAAAAGGGTCCCATTTGTGACCACTTATGTTCTTTCAGACAACAATGGTGGTTATGTGATTGTGACTGAATAACTTTGCCGTGTTCATGTTCTGGCCAATTTATATGGACCCATTTGGAATGACCCACAATTCTTTCAAATTAATTGCGTCTCTTCCTGATCTGAATTCTCATTATTAAATACTGGAAGGCGACTTAAATTGTGTCCTCCACTCTCAGTTAGATAGATCGAGGCCTAAACCAAAGACTTGTTTTATACGTCCTTTGTACACTCACACAACTTATCTGATTCCTGGAGGAGAAGGAATTCTACAACTGAACAACATTCCTTCTTTTCTCCGGTTCATCATAGCTATTCAAGGATTGTCTATAACCTGATAGACAATTGTCTACTGCCTGATGTCCGCAACAGCCAATACCATAGCACTGACTTCTTAGACCTGTCCAGTTCAAGTGGATGTGTATCCCAGATGACATGATGTCACAGCGTAGTTGGCGTCTACTGTAGATCTCACTTTATTTTCATTCCAAAAGTTCAAAATCTTTCTTAATTAACTAATTTAGGTTTTCCCTGAAATAAATATCACACCAAGAATGCTCAATGGTACTGTCTGGGAAGCATTAAAAGCATACATTACAGAAGAACCCTTATGGTCAATCATGGATTTTAATCCTTCATCACACTCTACTCTCCAAACAGACTGCCCGGGAAGTGGATATAGGTCAGGCATCTATGACAAAGTGTGAAACTCCGCTATCTCATTAATCCATTCCTCATCTTTCTATGTTAGACATAATCTGAAAGTATTTCACTGACTTCATTATTTCAATGAACTGGCCAAAATATATCCATCTGTCCTGACAAAATGTCCTAGATGCCACTATACCCCAGTCTCTCTGGGACACGTCTCTCTGGTCCGTTTCATCCCTGTCTGTCTTTCTCTGGTTTTCAATTTCCGAATGTCTTACATCACTATGTAAAACAAGCCTAACCCTCTTACTGCCACCTTTGGGGCAGTTCACGCTAGCGTGATCGCTTTAATGTTGTTAACAGATTACATATACCCTTATTTCAATTTCTCTGTGTTTTGCACAATGGAAAAGCCTAATAAAAAAGAGTTTAAAATGTTATATTATGTAACTTCAAGTCTTAATTATTTCCTCAAACAGGTGGATGCTGTTGTTTTTAACAACTTTTACTAAAGCATGAGTAAATAGTGCATTTGTAAACGATTCTTCATTTTGCCATGGACTTTTGAGTGAAGCACTTTGTAACCTCTTTAAGATAAGTGCTATATAAATAAACTTGTTATTATTATTATTTGTTTGGCTTCCATACATAGCATACTTATTAATAAGAGATTGGTCCCTGTTGGATTGGCTCTGTACAGGGAATTTATTTGACAGCAGAGGAGCTATAGAATATGACCAGACTGATTTCAGTTACATATGTTGAAGACAGGAGATTAGAGTGCACTTTTCTTAGGGTCTCAAATGAAGAGCAGTCTCTAGCAGTCAAACATTAACAGCATATCAAACAAAAATACAGACAGCCAGTGTATGTCACATTTTAGTAAGATAAAGTACTTCTTCATTATCTTAACAGTGATCTGTGAGTATGTGTCAATATACTGCATACCTGGTGCATAGCCCCAGCTGGTATAAGGACAGAGTCTCCCAGGAATTGAACTACGGTCCAGCCCTGAACTCCATGCTCATCCTGCAGCTGCTGACGCTGCTTCCTGCTCAGATACCAGCCATGCTCTCTGATCGGGTCCTGGTCCAGGGACACCTCCAATCCCTGCTCCTTACAGAGCTAAAGTGGTGTTTTGGGAGGGATGGTATAGGTCAGTACTAGTACTGAATTTCACGACATTTTCATTTAAAGCTGGAGCACTTATATGCTTGTCAGAGTACTGACCTTGTACAGGAACTCCCGGACTTTGTCCATGTCCCTGTTGAGGTAGATGTGCCACAGCGCCCCCGGTGTCTCACTGGAGTCTTTGAGCCTTCTTCGAACACCCTCATCTAGATCCTCCTCCTCCAAACGCTTCAACACTCCTACACACACACGAACAGGTTATAATAATATGCAGAAAGAAAGCAAACCTTCACCTAAAATCTATGTTTAGTATTATTATTGAGTAAATTGCTTCACATTGTTGACATTTTAGCAAACTATTAAGAGAAAAACTTGGAATAAACAGTGTAGCCAATAAAAGAGACATTGAAACTGCTGTTATCCTGAGTTAGGCAGTCTAGTCTCTACTAAATGGGTTTTGTGTTTCAATTATTAAATGTTCAGTGTGTACAATTTAGTGACATCTAGAGGTGAAGTTTCATGTTGCAGCTGATTACTCCTTATCTCACCCCCCCCCCCTTACAAAGATGAAAGAGAACCTGTGGTGAACTTCAATTGTCATGAAAACGCAAAAGGTTTTAGTTTGTCCACTTTGGACGAAAACATGGCAGCCTCCACAGAGAGGACCCCACTTTAGATGAAACACACCAGTGAAAACATCACTACAATTAATTTATATTCAATGTCTGCCAAAAATCAACACCTAAATCTTACACACTGAACCTTTAAGTTCTCATTTATCTTCTGTTGACCATTGTGCTCACCACTGTGGCTCATGAGATATCACATTTGTCATTCCATTCAGTCTTAAAAGAGTTTCTGACTTCAGTCTTACCAGTTTTGGACAGGACTCCGTTGCCTTTAGCTACTCCTACATAGACCAGAACTGACACAACATCTGAGACTTCCACGTGGAGGTTGGCAGTCCCAAAGTCCTGGTCCTGAGACGCAGCTACACCTAGTGGAGGACAGATAAACTCACTGATGAGAAAAGGGGCAGATAGGGATTTTAAATGGAACCTGTTCAGATTAATTAAGCTACCGGTATATCAATATATTCTGTATCTATTTTCTTTTATGTCCTCACTCATTTTAAAGTATTAGAAGAACATTCATGTACAAAGTATTTAGGTGAATTGATGAAAACTGCCCAGTAAAAAGAAGTCATTGCTGCTGTTAATTTCCCTCTTACCATAAGCACAGCAGAGCCTCGGCCCCAGATCTGGCCTGACGAAGAAAGATGGGAGGTGGGAGGCCAGGTTGAGGTTGCCCTCTGGATCAGAGTACTCTGGCAGGGGCAGGTTCTTCATCAAGTCATCATATCTGCAAGAAACGGTTCATTTAGATGGTCCTGCCATCCCTCTTGTGTTGTTTGGATTCTTCTTTAGACTTTTGATCATGAAATACATTTGGGCTGCCATTTTCATTTTTGAATGTGAAGCTTGAGATTGAAAGGCAAGGTACAGTCACTGTGAGTATTAGATAAATCTGAACTCTATGTTGAGTATGTAGGTTTACCTTGAGGGCATGAGGGCCATGAACTCCTCTCCAGATGGCCAGTCCTTCAGTCTGTACACCATAGGTTCTCCATCCTTGGACTTGGGCCGCTCTGAAAAGGAATGAAGATTTTTGTCAGAATCAATCAATAATTTCTCATTTATGGCAGTTCTGTCTCAGTGGTTGGTTTTAAGCAGCTGTTTAATAAATGAAAGCAGAAGAGTAAGATGAACTCACTGGTGATGTCCTCAAATCCATCCCAGAACTCCTTGATCCCGGAGTTGGACACCACCTGGTCTTTACAGTTAAGGAGGTCTCCCTGATGGTCTGCAAACTCTTGGTTGAAGGAGTCAGCTTTCCACAGACCAGCATTCAGTCGCTTATGGATCCCTGACACCAGCACAGGCTGAACAAACACACCATATGACTGTTATTATCTGTAATGTATCTACTTATATCAATAAGTGCTGTACTGCAAGCCTGGTGTGTACCTGTCCCTGTTTCCAGCAGTCTCTAAACAGCTTCCAGTTGTTCTGGTTGCGGTGATCTTTGAGCCAAAGTAACCGTCTGTTGTTAAACCAGGAGTGGGGAATGTCTGGATACTGACTATTTGAATCCTCTGGCACAGCTGCAGTAACAGGCAATAACTTCTTCCTGTCTGGTTTGGCATCCTCAACAGGAGGGTTGGCGTTGTTGGTGCCGCCGCAACCTGCAGTGACAGGCTCTTGCTTGATTGACAGCTTGGTGGTGATGTTCTGGCGGCTGGCAGGAATTTTATTCTCCACAACTGAAGCAATGATATCATCAAGGATATTGGGCATGGTCCGTCCACTCTTTCCAGTCTGAAGAAGAGGTAATAACAATATTTACATTTTTCAAATTTATTTCTCAGTTTGAAAAACAGAACTAAATTTTATAATTGTATGTTAGAGGACTGGGTGATACAACTGTGATTTTTCTTCAGACATTGTAGGAATTGTAGGAAAATGTATACCTATTACCTAAACAAAGTTTACTTTAATACCTCAAAAAAAGTGTGTGTATGTGTGTGTACCTGTGAAGCAGTGGAGTAAACTGGTGCAAAGGCGATTCCTGCGTCAGTAGAGCCCAGCTTCAGTTTCCCAGCTGTGGTGGTGAGCAGATCTCTAAGTGTGGAGCCCTGCTCTGTATTGTTTGTTACCAGGGAGGTGGTTTTACACTGCTGCAGGACCTCCAGGCTTTCCCCTTCCTTATCCTCCTTCACTGATTTGCCCAGCAACACAGACTCTTTGTTTTCTGTTAGAGAGAGAGGGAAAGAAGGACACAGGGGGAAATAGCGGAATATGTTACTGATCACCAATATGGGCTATACATATAAAATTTGATTGATTGGTTGATCACTATTAACTTTTCTGGAGGTGAAATATACTAAAGGGCTTAATGAGGGAATTTGGTCATTTGGAGTAAATCATTACAGAACCACTGAATGACAAATTAAGACCATACTGATTCTTAACCTTCCCCTCACCTTTCTTTTCCTCCCTGGATTTCTGTTCTGCCAGGTCAGCCAGGAAGTGCAGAGGTGACTGGGACTCTGGTGGGGTGACAGGAGCACTTCCTGTATCGCTGCCTGGACTACCAGCTCCATTAGTCTCCGCCTTGGTTCCTCCTGGATCAGAGTTCTGCTGAGAGCCCGGCTCAGACTTCACCAGAGACAGCTTGTTACTGTGGTTCAGGACGTTCTGCAGAACCTGACAGAGAGAAGGGAGAATCATGAGGTAATAATATTGACTAGTTGATTATATTACACAAATTGAACGTGGTTTCTATGTAATAGAAAATTTAGGGGTGAAAAGCCCCTTTAAACAGTCATCAAATTCAAGTTTCTTTAAGTGGGAAAAGATTTAAGTGCTATTCCTTCAGATCATAATGGCTAAATCTATCTGTCCCATTGACTGCATGTATAACAATGCCTCTATCAATCTGACATATACAGTATATTAAGTAAAATGGAAATCAAGGATGCATAACTTCCTTTGCACAGTAATGATTTAACGTTTGAGCAGTTTACATTTGTCCCTCTGCTTCAGAATAAATAAAGGTCCCCTCGAGTATCAATCAATATCACAACTGACGTCAGGGAGATTCATCAGATCCTTTGCAATTACATCTGTAGGTAGCTGTTGGATGCTCCAACAACCACTGTGTAGCATGGAGGTGGATCCAGTGGGAAAAACTATTACGACTTGGTAGCAGATATCATATATTATACAATGTTTCCTTATACAAAGCTAAAGTAAAATTTTTATATTTAGTTTTTTTTGGATTTATTACCTCTGCCAAAGGAGGTTAGGTTCTCACCCATTCCCCTTTGTTTTGTTGTAAACAAGATTACAGAAAAACAACTGAACAGATTTTCATGAAACTGGGTGGAAGGATGCGGCATGGATCAGGAAAGAACCACTCAATTTGGATCTGGATAAGAGGGCGGATCCAATTTCTTTATTTGTATTTTTTTTTAAACATTTTCATTGATTTCTCAGAGAATGGATGGATCTTGATGAAAAAATACTAATGAATGTTTCGGGGACTGATATTCACGAGTGTGTGTGCAATTTGGAGCAGATCCAAATAGAAATCCAGATCTAAGGGCCTTGGCAAAATATACAGAGTGCTATTACTTTACATTAATTTTTTATATTCAAGACTTGCCAAAAAATGAGTCTGTCTGGCATAAGCGCTTTGAGTGGTCATCAATACTAGAAAAGTGCTGTATAAATATAAACCATTTATTCAGTGTCTGTGGGTCCCACTGTCTTTAAAAAACTAATTTCTTCAGAATAATGTCTGATGTGGCCTTAAAAGGTACAGTGTGTAGAGAGGACCCCCTCGATGTAAATATAAAGTATTTAAATATAAAGGGCATTTTCTAGGGTAAAGAAAACTACAATTCATACAATTTAGATGAAACGACCTAGTGAAAACATCATGAGAATAATTCTACATTAAATTTCTGCCAATAGTTGCCTTCCACCTAAATCTTACACACTAGACCTTTAACATGTCCTGTTTCTAAAAGCACTATCTCTCTCTCTCACTCTCACTCTCTATATATATATATATATATATATATATATATATATATATATACTGATAATATAATAAATAAGATTGATGTTATTCTGAAGTGTGTCCTAGTATGGCAAGTGAATTGGTCAGTGGTACCTGTGAGACTCCATTGGTGGCTGGTAGTTTGATGAGGAGGTTCTGTTTGTTGGTGCAGGCACAGTGGGATTTGATGTCGTGTTTGTCTCTCATTGAGTGCATGGAAGTTACCAACTCTGACAGCACTGAAACATAAAACAGTTAAAAGATAAAGAGAATACAAACGTGAACCTTCTGTAAATGGCACGTGAACCAGACAGCAGAGCAGAGAAAAATATTGTGCTACTGCAGTAACATAATGCCTACCACTAGGTTGAGCTCAACACCTAAAACAGACAATGGAATGAAGATTTTTTTGTAATTCAATATTTTATTTGATAAATATCACTTATTATCTTTAATCTACATCAGCATCACACTTATCTATTGAAGTGCTGAATAAATGGTAGGACAAAGCAGCTAAAAGATGAAGAGAAGACAGTGGGATGCAGATATGGTGTAACCAGCATGAGGTGTACCTGTGCCGGGTATGATCTGAGTTGGCATCAGGTGTTTGTGATCATGGGGTTGGCCTTTCACACACTTCAGCCATCCGTATAATTCTTTATCTATTCATAGAAAGAGAGACGCACGTCAGTTGCCATTAAAATACACACATGTATAATAAACATGAGGAAGGAGCTTCTCTCCTGGGTTGGAACAGAAGCACACAAGAGACCAGGTTTCTTCCAAGTCAGGTTTATCTAAATTCACACGTACATGTGTGGGTAAAAAACTTATGATCAGTAGTCCCCAATTGGTTTGGATATCAACTTTGAATTATTTGTGAGGTCACATTCATGTTCAGATTTTATATTGAGGTGATTAGTCATTGTTACATATGTTGCCAGATCTAAAAACAATAGAATCTACACAAGTACACAAGACATTTTATTTACACTGTACGACATCTGAGGCTTCAACATGGGCCTAAGTCCAGGTTTAACTGGTGCTGGTCAGTTCACTGGCTTTCTGTAACAATGGTGCATACAAGATGTTTCTGTAAAGCCAGCTTGTCTTGGCTCCTAACTGTCAACAAAAACAATACTGACCTTTGGAGCTCCTTCTCTCCTTGGCCTTGTAGCAGTCTAGGCAGACCACAAAGCCACATTTTTGACAGACCCAGTGGATATTGAAGAGTGTCGCTTCACAGGCATCACACATCTCCCTCACCCCCCTCACTGCTCGCTTCCACGCCAGCTTGGCTGAAAAAACAAGAGAAAATAAGATCAGTTTCAAAACTTAGTAAGGGTCAGCTAATCAAAACGTCAGCCATTTTTAAAACAATTTTTACCATCCTTCTTGACCCAGCCAGCTGCAGTATTCTCAGTCACTACTATCTGACAGAACTTGTCTCCAATAAAGCTGAGGATGTACTTGGCTGTGGATTGGTCCAGGTGGTTCTCCTCCATGGCCCCAGGGGCCCACAGGGCCAGGGCCTCATCATCGAACTGGTCTGGAGTAGAGAAACCATCCATCCGGATGACTCCATTTTTACTAAAGGAAAGCCTGGATGGGAGGAAATAGGTGAACAGTTTACAGTTGTGTACAGCAATGATGATGACATTACAGAAACATGTTAGCAACCTTCATAACCACTGAGGACACTAAGGTAATAAACATACTATTTAGACCCATACAGCATGATGGAGAAAACTGAAATCCTTTACACACTGTGCACCACATAATAACTTATTTGATTGCAGGTTAATTAGCTGGACTTGGAGAGACTGTAAAGTGCCACTAAGGTAGAAAAGCTTTAATATGCACAAGCTTTGATATGCATATACATATATACAGAACGAATCACTACGATCTGAGTCTCAGTACTTAAAAGTAGGTACTCAGTACTTGAGATGGGGATTTTCTTGTTTTTCTTTAAAACCACAACTGTATTTGGTGTCCAGCTCAGGTGAATTTTGGGTCAGACAGGAAGGAGGGATGATTAGGTGAGACAGCAAGAATTAGAAGTGGAGATGCAGAGAAGGGGAGGGAGACAGCAAGGGAGAGATTGCAGTAGCAGCAGTTCGTAGTGAGTCAGTGGGGAAAAGATTATAGAGCAGAAAATCCTCTTTGGCAGATTTACCTTGTTAGACCCCAGACTGCAGCTGCTGCTTATCCAACACAAGTGCATGTCTGTGTGCTCTCAGTGTGTGTATGAGAGAGAGACAGACGGAGGCAGGGCATACTGCACAAGCCACATGATTAATGATCTATGTGTTGTCGCTAAAGGGGAAAAAAAGGAAGTCTTTCCTTCCGCTCTCCTGCCATCTCTCTCCATTTGTGGAATTCTGTTTAGACATGCAGCATTTTAAACCAAATGCTGACTCTCATGACAATAAACAAGAGTGAAGGGAGTAGATGTATGACAATTCATTGAAGGGATTTATGTTCTAGAGGGGTAAGAAGGGAACAAACATTCACAGCCAGTATGAAACATCTAGTGCAGTGGTGCCAACCCGTTGATCATGATCGACTGGTCTTTACTGTCTATCCCTGAAATGCTCATTGGCTGTGGTTGTGCCGCAGATCAGCTGTGTGACGGCTGCCTGTAAGTATATCTACTGCATTTCCTTCAATACAAGTCAGATTATGTACTAAAATAAATACCAGGGCACTACAGCATGAAGACGTACATCTCCCGGTCTGTCGATAACAATCAAAGCCACGCTAGAACAAATTAATGGATTCAGAAAATGAAAGGCTGGAGTGCCTTTGAAATGGGTTTGGAAAGCTTTGGAAATACATAAGTTTGTTTGCTTCATGCTGTATAGTACTGGTATTTATTTCAGTATAAAGGACTACTTGTATAGTAGGAAATAGTCATATTTATGGCCATATTCAAGGTAAAGCCTATGTAAAAACATTGTGCTGCAGTAGCAGCTCCTCTGCAGAACATATTGTTGAACTGAAAAGATGCTGTAAATATAAATTGATATTAATGTGAATATATAGATAGATAAAATTGCCTAATTGCTTGTATTTGTGTATATTTAAGTACATTGAGTTTTTAATAGAAATTGAAAAATATTAATAATAATTTTAATAAATAATAACAATGACACTCCGCAGTGTTTTTTTAAAAAGATATTCAGGTGGTAGATCTCGGCTTATGTTTCCAATTAAAAAGTGATCCTGGGCTTAAAAAGGTTGGTGACCACTGATCTAGATGTATAGTTTGTAGGATGGATGGATGCAATTGTAGTCGTGAAACTAGAGGAAAACCTGAAAGTGAAGGAAATAACAAAAATGAAAGGAAACAGCAGGGGAGAGCTTACCTTCTGAAATAGTAGAAGCGACAGAAGACAGGAGAATGTGCCTGCTCTTCTCCCTTCTTGCTGCGAAAAACCCTGCACTCCCGACACTTCTGCAGATTGGGTCCAATTTCTGAACATGAGTCATCCTGCAGGAAAGACTCTCCTGTCTGCTTCAGCTTCTTCACCTTCCTCCAATCCTTCAGCACAGAGCGGGGGATGCCATCTGTAAAGGGGACACATTATTAAGTCATTAACTCTACCTACTGTTTATCATGAGAAAATCAAAGAGTTATTGGCAACAAATACATCAAAGTAGAGAAGAAAAAAGATTTTGTTTCACTTGGAAAAAAAAAGAGTAACTGGGGTTGAAAAGCCAAAAGGTTTTTCATTCACCTAGGGTACATACATAATTCAAAGGCATTATCTATATCCACATTATGAACCCCTGCATCAGCCACAGTTGTTAAAGCCTGATGACTATTCTTAAAACAACAATGACTGTGTCCTATAAAGTACTGTCTGTCTATCACAGCTGGATACATCTGACTCCTCTGAGCCGTAGAGCTCCATTATTGTGTAAAAACTATCAAACACATCAGTGAGTAACACGTTTGCGCTGAATGACATGTACCGTCATCGCTATGAACACATGGACTGCAGTTTATTTTTGACTCATATACATGCATGTCCTGCTGCCCTACATCTTACCTAGTTACTACACGTGGATTAATCTGCCACAGAAAATAGTCCCAAACAGAATATCAGCAGCCCTATCCTTTGACTTCCACTACTGTTTTTAAACTTGCTGCCTGAATAATTCTTTAGACACGACTGTCAGTGCTGGAGTGAATATCTATACAAGACTTACTGCTGCTGGCCAGTTTGAGTTTGGTCTTCTCCCTGGCTGATCTGAAGATACCATTGGGCTTCACGTCATCGTCATCCTTTTCATTGTCTCCTTTCCTCTTGGCCATGTCATTCTGCTTCTTCTTGTAGGTTGGTTTAGGCTGACGTTTGGCTCGGCCCTCCATTTTGCTCTCACTGGCGTCTGAATCATCTCCTCCACTCTCTGAACCGGACTCGTATGACCGTTTGTTGTTCCCTCGCCTTGATAAAGGAGCTGCTTTTCTTTCCTCCCCAGCTCCTCCTCCTGCTGCTGCAGCCACCATCTTCTCCTCTGCCTGCCTCTCTCTCTCACTTTTGCTTCCAATGTCCTTGCTCATTTCCACTTCACTGGAGGTGGAGGCGCTGAGATTTACTGTACAGGGTTTGATCATTTCTGACATGGCTGTGGTGTTACTTGTGTTACTTGTGCTGGTGGGGATGGGGGTGGTGGTGGTGGTGGTGATGGTGCTGGGCAGTTTCTCTGGTTTAGCACTGGTGGAAGTTGTTGTAGCAGTTGTATTCCTATCCTCCTCTGAGTGGCGGGTTAACCAGGCTTTCTTCAACTTGTGGTAGTTACTGGACTGGCCGCTGCTTGTTGAGGCTGATCCTGAGCACTGGCTGTTGGGCAGGGGACTGGACTTGCCTGGTGTAGTGCTGCCACTTGCTGAGCTGCTGCTACTGCTGTCAACTGATAATGATGAGGCTTGGCTTGAGGAGGTTGGAGGCGGGGAGCTGTGAATGCGAGATTTGTCAATTGAATCCACAGACAGGGAGGGGTTTCCAGTTGTGATGGATGTAGGAGCACTGGAGAAGTTGTTCCTGGACTGAGCGGCAGCTAGGGCAGCTTTGTGCTTCTTGAGATGGACAAAGGAAGAGGGTAAAGGCTGACCGGAGCCAGAAATGGAGCTAGGTTTTGGGGTGAGGCTTGGACTTGGTTGGGGTGTCCCTGCTGGACTAGGGGGAGGCAATGACCCCCCTGGAGATGTGGTACGTGAGATAAAGCCTTCCTGGTACTCTCCTGGTCCTGAGTGACCCACCACCCAGCCACCAACGCTAGTCTTATGGGCTGCAATCTCACCCCGGGCTGAAACTGAGTAACCTAGCTCATGGGTGGCTACACCAAATTTATTCTGAATGCCAAAAGTTGATGAGGCTGAAACAACAGTTCTGCACAAAGAGTTTGTGGTACTGCCTCCCATAGTTCCCTGCATACCACACACAGAGTTCCTTTTATACTGGACACACATGTCATCCATATTTGAGTTGGATTGGATAACCCTGCCAGCTACAGGTTCTCTAATACTCTCCCCTAACCTAGGACATTCCCCCTGAAGCTTGGAAGGGTAAAACCTCCCATGGGGGAGATCCTGATGGATCATAGCACCAGATTTGTTAGCACCAACAGGACTGTCGTACTTAATGGATGATGATGGACGTACAATGACTGATGCCATTGCAGATTGGGGCTTGCCCCTTGACATTCCTTTCTCTCCGGGGTACACTCCTCTTTCCTGAATCATCTCTCCAACTCTCCACCCATCTGTTGATGGAGTCATAATCTCCCCACTTATGGCAGAGGCTACAGAGGTGATGGCGGCAGCGTTTCCATGACCTTTGACGTCCCTGAGTTCTGGCAGCAGTGTGGGAGGTTTCTGCTGCTCTGCTGATGTTTTGCTACCAGTTGCCACTAAGCTAACTGGCTGGATGGGTGTGAGGGTTGGTGGAGACAGGCGTCCACCATAACCAGCTCTCTCCCGTTCTTTCTCCCTTTCCTTCTCTCGCTCCGCAGCCTCTTTTCGTTCCAGCGCGTGTTGTGTGGGGGGATGGAAGACAGGTGCTCTGTGGAGGGATGGCATTGCCCTGAGCTGGTGTTGCTGCTGCTGCTGTTGTTGGTGATGGTGGTGATGATGATGGTGATTAGGGGCTGAAGAGGAAGGCGTAGAAGACGAGGGAGGAGAAATGGCAGGGCTCCGGCGTTCGATCCTCTCTATACCGGCGTGGTGCTGATGTTGCTGTTGGACTAGTGTTACCTGCTGGCTGAGCTGCTCAGTGATTTTCCCTGCTAAACCTTCTCCTCCCTCTGGCTGGTGCTTAATAAGAGGAGGGGGCTTGGACAGGGAGATTTTGGAGCTGTGGCTGCCCAGGGACAGAGATCCCTGGCTGGGCACAGCAGCCCCAATACTGGCTACAACCCCTGGAGCTCCAACCGGTAGTTTCTCATAATAAGAGCTGAGCTCTTTGGAGGAGTACAGTCTTGGAGGCTCATTAACCACACTGTTGGACAGTGTGGTGAAGTAGTTGCTCTTTTCTGATTGGATGATGTGGGGATGGGCGTGGCTGGCCTTGGGGCTGGGGGAGGTGAGAGGTGGTATTCGCACAGGGAAGGCAGAATCTCTGCTTCTCTCTCTGTCCCTGTCCATCCCAGGGTCACTGGAGCGCTGAATCTTAGCAGTGAAGGGAGCGACTTCAATGCTCTCTTTCAGGATTTGCCGATTCTCCTCTTTGTACTTACTGGCTCTGTCTGCTGCCTGAACTGTATCCTGGGAGAGAAAATGCAAACACTGTTAAGGTGTGTATTTCTTAACTTTCAAACAAAAAATACTGCAGTACTCCTACTACATTTTGAGCTGACAAGATTAACATTTAGTCAAGAGTATGGTGCTGAGTGATTCTTTGGCAATATAATAAATATACTACTGATCAAAAGACACCATTTGGTGCACTAGTGCAGCACCCATTCTAATTCTGCTTGTTTGTAATGGTCTGTTCTCTTAGCCTGTGGTAATGCTCTGGGGCTACTTCAGAATTATTCCTCATTAGTGAGTTCCAGTCAACGATATACTTTTTATTGTTTTGTGTGCAGAGCTTTTTATAAATAGTTTATGGTGCAGAGTGAAGTTAGAAAACTTTGTGTTCATATGCTATAGGCACATGTAGCATTTAAAAAATTTATTTAATTCATGCAGATACTGTTATTATTATCCATTTAATTTCATGAATAGTTTGAATCAAAAAATAAATAATTGTATCGTCTTCTATTAAAAAGACACATATTTCCATTACGTGGAGCATCATTTCACACATCTGAACATGCTATGCAATGTGTATTAGTGCTAATATGATTACTGCTACTGACAATTAAGTTCATGAAGTCAAAGTGAAATGCACCTGTGTATTTGCCAGGCGAGCCTTGCTAAGGGGGTCTAGGTAGATGCGGTGTAAATGGACATCTTTCCCTGTGGGGGTGCGACTCCTGTCTGTCTGCTCCTGTTTCAGCTGGGCCAACGTCAAAGTTCTGATTGGGTCCACATAGCCTTTCTTGTCCACATCTCTGCATAAACACAAGTCAACATTTACCAAGTTATTAGTTTCCACATACATTTCAACAATTTAAAACAGGAAATGGCTGCTAATTTTTTGGTTTTCATAAGTTGTACCACTGTGGTTTATTCATGCTTTCCTTCTTGCCTTTCTTGTTATGCTAAAAGTATTTTATTTTATTAACATATTAAAATAACCTGAATAAGCTTAAATTCACTATATCTCTTAAATGTCGACAGTTAAAACACAACTATTAGTTCAAGCAGCACACTACAGTCAATCTAAACCAAATAAACAAAAATGACTACAAATGACTACTGTGGATGTGTGACAGTCTAAATACACTTGGGTAACAGGCAGAGTATTGAGGTATTGCTGCCTGTTCAGCAGTTTTAATGAGCATGACATAATTAGGCTAATGAGAGAGACAAGTGATGTGTTTCCTCAGTGATGCTGTGTGTTTGTGTGTAAGGGTATTCAGTGGCGTCTAAATTATGTAAACGGTGGTTACATAAGGAGAGCACAAGCTGCTGAATGAAAAGCGGTCTGTCTGAACTGCTGTAATATTGGATTAGTGCCACTTCACTTCATCTGACTGACCTGGCGTTGGTTGTCTGCCTCTCAGGGCTAACGTTTTACAATGGAAAAGGGCAGGCTGTTCAAATGTCCAACGCAAACATTCTCCTGTGGCATTTCTTTCAGTCCAACTCTAAAGAGCTGAAATTAACTGCAGACAAAAGGGATGCCTCATGCTCCCACTCACTCCACTCGCACACTGAAGAGCTTCACCAACTAGCTTTTATTCCAGTTGGGCTGTTCATGATCTAATGTTATGAATGTGAGAAATAACGGTTGTGCATGTTTTCCATTAACTCCATTAACTCGTACATCCTCAGCTGAAGCCAATCCAGGACTACTCACTCTTTATGAAGATCCATACTGGTCTTTGAAAGTGGAGGGCTTGCGTGTGTGTGCATTTTGATGGTGTGGCGGTTGGCGTCAGCACTTGCTGGCCGGACAGGAATGTGGCTCAGCATACCCAGACCATCACCAGTGCTACCAGCAGCCTGGTGCAGCCACGGACTGGCTGTGTTCTGCACAGACAACACACACACAGACAAGACATCATTAAAATAATGAACCTGAATCTGAGATGTTCAGTCAAAAAATGTGGTCATAAATGTCATAGTAGATAAAAACATGTAATGTGCAAATACACACAGTTAAGATAATGTACTTAGACCTAATTGGTCAATAAACGACAAAGTCGTAAACCATGGACACTCAGTTCTAATAAGTTGGTAATTGTGGATTCAGACAATCACACAAGCAAGTCATCTTCACTGATTTTACAAACACTGAAAGCTGAGCAGTAATAACAGCAGAAAGGCAGCTTTTGTTTGTGCTGTCATATTTTGACTGCGCACATGCAGGCTGTGTGATAACTTAACAAATTAGTTGTTCCCTGTCTGTTGAATTTTGGGTCCTTTGAAGCCAGTGTCTTCAAAAGCACATTTGGAATAAACACTTTGACTACAACTTACTTTGTTTAAGTTAACTTAAAGCTGGCACATCAGTACATTATTATACATCAGAAACAAAATCCCATACAGCTTTCATGTAAAAAAACTAACAATTGAAAGGGTACTATATAAATCAATTTTATGATCGACTATTACAAGCAACATCTAAGTTGGTATTTTCCTTCTAGGATAATATGAATACACCTACCCTCCTGAGAGAGGCCTCAGAATTCATGGTGACAGGATTTTCAGGGTGGACCCACTTAGTTGTGGGGGGCAGGTTGAGTCCTGGGGGATAGGAGGTTGGTGTTCCATTGGGGTACTGCCAGAGGATGGGGTACAGGCCCAGCCCTGCTGCCCCTCCGTGAGCCTGGGCCAGTAGATGGGGTGGAGGGGGGCCCTGACCCTGACAACAAAAACATTATTTTGGTTAACATTTTTAAGAGTTGGTGTAAATAATGTTAAGCTTGGATAAATCAGGAGGGGAAGCAACATTACTTTCCTCCCTTCTCCAACCTCAACCTCCAGAACTAATATTTACATCACAATCCTTCCTAGCCCAGTTTTAAACTATCTGTAGGTATCTGAAGTCACACCTGTAGGAACTGCTGCTGGTGTGCGGCTGCCGGATGAGGTAGGCCGAGGTGACCCAAACCGCTGGGGGAGTCGAGCCGTGGGTGGCCCCCGAGAAGAGATGCTGTGGGCGGAGGCATGGCTGAGAGCACCCCAGGTGGTAAAAGGTGCGGATGAGGTAGGGCAGAGGTGTGAGAAGCAGCAAGGAGGTGGGAGGTAGCATGGGGGTGGGATGCAGGAGTGAGGCAGGGGGGGTGGGGGGACGGGGAGTGCAGGGTGTGCAGGTGGGGATGGAGATAGGCTGCCACGTGGTTGGAAGAGACTGTTGCAGCAACAGAGTTCTCTGCGTCGGAGCGGACCAGTGCTGGGTCCCTGTAAACGGTGAAGGTTTCGTTCTTATCGATGATCAGAGGACTCTTGGAGCTGCTGCTGCTCATACTGACTCCACACGACTCGGGCCGTGCCGGCACCGGCTTGAAACCTGACCGTAGAGGTTCTGCTGCTTCTACTTTAGCGGACAAACGGCCTGTCGGAGGAGGTGATGTATCAGAGTACCTTGGTATTTTATGTTTGGAGACCTCTGGAGAGGTGTTGGGTTTAGGTCTGGAGATGTCCAACAGGCCTGGGTGGGACTTAGCTTTGAGGAGTTCAGTTGGGTTAGTGTTGGGATAGGGGTGGCTCTGAGAGTTGTTGGGGTGCTGGGATTTCTGTTTCAGAGAGTCAAGCTGGGGTGTGCTGTGGTTTGGGCTAGGACTCATTTTGGGTTTGGCTATTTCAGAGGGGGGGATTGTGTTCATCTTGTGGGGGTTTGGTTGTTGCTGTGGATGTTTTCTAGTCTCTTCAGATGAAGACGGGCTCTTAATGCCAGGTTGGATAGATGTGTAGTGTTGCTGTGTGTGCTGCTGATGATGCTGCTGTTGTTGATGAGGATGAAGATGATGATGAGGAAGGACAGTTTTCTCTTTCTCCACCAGCACCACACTCTCAGCCATCGATGTGACAGGCCTGAAAAGAAGAAAAGAAGAACCAGTATTTAACTTGTGAAAATGACAGGATTACACAGATTACCTTCACGCTCTATGTAAGGGAAACTAAAATGGTTGTAGTAGTTGTATTCAGATATTTTGTAACATAATCACAAATTAATCATCATCATTAATGAATCTACAAATGTCCAAGTGAGAGGTTTCATCAGAGTTTCTCCAGCTAGCCCCCTAGTAAAAACTCTACATAATGTCCGATATGATGTGAGAGCATAGCAGGAGATCCTCTTGAGGATTCACTGCGAGTAAGTTGATGACATTTCTAATGCAGGACAGAGGCAAAAAGGAAACTCTATGGTTACATCCTGCCTCTGCCTGTTGAACCATCCCTCACTGAACACTGACATTTCTGTGGTGTTGTGGTGGTTCATTTCTTAAAGGGGCTTCAGTGTCATCTCTGATTACCTGCATAACCCGATTTTAAACATACTGTGTCTTATTAAGGGACAATTGGAAGAAACTGTTACAGAGACCTTATGGTCTATTTAATACCCACATCTGCCAGCTACTCATCACATCAGGACAAAATGCAGGATGTTGTAATATTCACCTATTATCAAGACTAAGACACTTTTTAACTTGACCCGCTGGTGATGAACAAAGTTCTTTGAATTGAATTGAATTTTTCTCACCTGATAACCTCAGAGGGAGCAAAATCTATCTTATTTCCTAAAGTCCTGGCTACTGTCAAGCTATTTCCCATAATGCCTTGCTGCTGTTGCTGCTGCATGGGAGGCTCAACATCTGTCCTTCGGCCTCCTTCTGATGGTGAGGGAGAAGGTGGAATAGGAGGTGAGGAGACTGGGGAGGGGTTGAGGGGGAGGTAAGGTGAGAGGGCCGTGGACTCTGCCTTCTGTGAGGCGAGCAACGCCGACACTGCCTCTGAACTCTCACGGTGCACCGTGGCCTGGGCATCATCTGTGATGTCGATCACATTGCTGCTGTGGAGGTGGGATGACGACGGGGTCTGGGATCGAGGAGACGCTACAAAAAAAAAAAGATGAATACATTTTTTTAATAAAACTGCTAAATTTACTCATAACTGTCACATTCACAACAGTTACCATGCATGAACATACCTTTCACAGTGTTTTTACTGCTCTCCACGATGCCAACCTGGATGTTGTCAGACATCAGACACTGTTGCCGTGGAGACTGGGTGATCTGCGTGACCGCTACCAATTCCTCCACCTCCTTCATTATCATTTTCCCCGTTTCCTTAACCACACCCTTCTTGCTTTCATCTGCTGCTTGAAGCTCCACCCATGGAGACAGGCGACCAATGAGAGACGAGGAATTGTTAATTTTGGCGCCCTGCGTTAGTGGCTTCTCTTCTTCCTCCATTTTGGAAACGGCACTTGGTTTTACATCACTGCTGCGAGTCTTAAGTTCATTCTCAGAGTTGGGCTCTGAGGAGGAGGAGGAAGAGGAGGAGGAGGATGACGAGGAAGATGAGGAGGAAGAGGAGCAAGAGGAGTGGGCGGCCCTTTTGTTGTGTGGGTTTTCTGAGTCACTACTCTCTGATAGGTCAGACGTCATATCAGTCTTCAGCCTCTTTAAACCCGCCTTTTTCTCATCCTCCTCGCCCTTCCTACGTTTGCTCACTGCCTGCTTCACCTTGGACTTGGAGTCTGGACAAATGATCAGAAAAAGGTTTGATTATTCTTTACCAACTACCTGATATCACTCAAATAGCTTGAGAGAGAGAATATTTCTATTACAATACTAAAAATATGCATTCTTTGATCATTAATAACAATGGTTACATGGTAATCATGTTACAAAATCTAATTGTATTATATGTTGTTTCTTTTGATGTCGCAAGTTTTATGTTATTTGAATTAACCACAATGAATAATGTTTATAAAAATGTTACTATGATTAGACAACCAACACACACAAAGACGAGTGGCAGAAAGCACTAAAATGGCACTACCGCCACCACATACCCTCACACGAGTATACAGGATTATTGGATCTCAAATTTATAGTGTTTGATGGTGACTGTCCTCACCTCTAGCTGCTGTCTCCTCTCTCCTGTCCTTGTCTTCCTCTGGAACGCTGCTGTCTGATCCTTTCCTCCTGGAGGAGCGAGAGTTACGCTGCTCTCTCTGATCCCGTCCAGTGCCGCCAGGTGAGTGGTGTGATTGGCTGGCTGGTTGTTGGCTTTGCTGTGATTGGCTGTGCTGCTGGGAGGCCAACGTCCCCTGGGAACCTTTTTGGTTAGGGCCTGATGAGTTCATGACGGGGCGGGGGCTGTTGGCTTGGGCTCGCGTATAATGACTCTGTAAGAAATAAAGAAGATCAGAACATGCAGGTAAACATACTGACCAAAATCCCACAAAATGATAACTTACATTAAGGCACTTAACATCGTAAGGCCAAGACTTTATATTATGAAAGAGACAAAGCCAACAGTTGTGAGTGCTGTGTAGTAATTGATAACACCATTAAACCTGTGGCTATGAGTACTTAATTCATAACAATCAGTATGAAAACAGTTACACAACTGTTCCTAGTCACTCTCTTCTTCCCTCTTCCCTATTTCTCTCCTCTCAACCCAACCAGTTGAGGCAGAAGGACATGACTTTCTGAACATTCAATCTGTATTATAAGAAGCAACTACCTCATGAATAACTTATGTGTGGTTAAGAGCTGTTTGAAGTAAAGGCAACAATGAATGAGTAGCTTTGGCAGGCTGTGGAAGTTCTGCTGAAGGGGAAGGAAAAGAAGCCACACTATTTTTGAAAAGTTAAATCAATTAATTTAAATTTATGTCAAATCTTGACCAAGTCACCTACAAGACAAGGTATTTTGTAATTTTATGTTGCTGTTAACCTTGTGAAGGTAGAATGATGTGTAATGACTGCAGAGCTTGATGATGTTGTATCACAAGGAGGGAAATGGTTAGGTCAGGCTCTGAGTACACATAGAGGACAACAGCCTTCCTGCCTTGCTGAGAGAAGGTCAGCATGCCACTCTGATTAATTACTGTCCCGTGCTCCTGACCCTGTCTGGAACATGCGCAGGATAAACTGTTAAATGAGCCCATGACTGTGACTTTGGCTATTACCCAGATGGAGCTTACACTGGGATAAATAATGCATAGTAGCTACCTGGGCAGAGACATTTAATGTTACGGGCTATTCCAAAAAGCCCAGAAAATCCAGCACAGTTACGTAAGTTCCTGATCAACTCTGTGCAATTAGAGTTCTTTTCAAAAGGCAAAGCAGCACTTTCTGTCTTTGTGACGTCTTTCTTGACATTTTCACACTGAACATTTTCTGGCACTGGGCTTTTGAAGCAGATGGATACACTAACAAATATAAGAGCAGCAGAGAGGTCACTGCTTCTCAGAATTACAACCTGGACTTGATTTCAGGGCTTTGAGTTGAAGAGAAAATCCACACTCTCCACAACTATTACTGCACTGACCTCCATACATCAAGTCACTTCTGTCCACACCCATCATCACAGCTCCAGTGGTCCAGCTGTGATGTAATAGTGTGACAGACGTACTACGCTAACCCACAGGGTGCAGCAAAGACAGACAATGCAGTAACTGCAAGATGACAGTGCATGCAGGAGATTTGGCTGGGGATTACTTACTCTTTAAAATGTATATTTTCCTTTGAAAATACCATCTCTAGTTTGTGGGAAGACAGTTTGCATCCTCACATTGTTGGAAACTACTGCTGTGTCTACATACACACACCAGCATTGTTTTGTGATTGATATTCATTTGGTGACTCTTTCTTGAAGCTGGTGCAATGTGTCAGATAGTAATAATGTTTTCTCTGTTTTATTTTTGCTCGTGTAGTTATTGTGAAAACCTAAGAGATTCCATAAAGATGCCATTTGCCGATATGGGATCACAAATGTCCATTAGAAACATGTAAAATGTTACAGGTTAACTTTTTGTCAGTTATGTGACTGATGGACAAATGTAGTAGAAACAAGGAATACAAACTGACTTTAGATTCTCGGAGTGACTAGTAACACTGAACTGTCACTTCCTTTAGTGATGATGTGATACCACAGCCTGTTTGCTTCACTATGACTAAAAACTAGGCTTACTACCAATCAAACAAGCAAAGATTTACCCTGCATGCTACAGTTAAAAAGACATCATCTTAGTTTACTGTGAAAAACCTGGGTAAGGATGGAGGGTTTGGGGATAAGGCTGTGTGTATGGGTGGGGGGTTGGGTGTACCTGATTGTTGCCAGTGGTCCCGCCAGGTCTCCCTCCTGCCATCTGTCAAGTGTTAAGAAACAGATTAATATTGATAAGAGAATGTGGGGTAAGGACATAGTTTGTCAATGACTGCTGGACCAGAAAGTCCACATACACTGTTGTGTGTCTTATGCATGCAAGTGTGTACTCACATGGGCAGAGTTGTTGTTCTGACTGGATCGTGACCTTCGTCTGGAGGTGATGCCGATGTTTTCTCCTTTCAGCAGGGAATGGACCACATCATCCAGAAAGGTCATCTGGATCATGGATGGATCTACGTTCTGAGGCTCTAGCACCTGAACACATATCAGATTCACGTTACACTGTCCATGTGTGAAAGTGTGTTGAGCAGTGGACATTTCAGCACAGAAAGTTATGGCATATATACATCTAAAACAAAATATGATTGCAAAATTATTAATTTGATAAAAAATCCTATTATTTATGTCTGTGGAATCACACAGTGTAGCTCTGACCAGTAAAGCACTTGTTGACTAATCTGTTTTGGCTTGTTGCCCCAAAAAGTCAGCATCGAGGCTTTCTGTAACAGTACATGTATCTGAATGAAATTTCCAGCTGAGACCACGGGACATTAGTTAGTACTGATGTAATAATGAAGCAGGAGGTGATAACATTATCACACCACTCACAGCATGTGAAACTCTGGTGTGTGTGTGTATGTGTGTGTGTGAGAAAACAGTGTAGGGATATAAAGTCACAAATGAACTGTTAAAACATGATGTAATAAGGGGTGGCAGGGTGGTAGAGTGGGCAGCACTGTCACTAATCTACTGGCCGGGGCTTCTCTGTGAGGAATGACAACTCTAAACAGGTAAAAAGCTTGAAACAGACAACAAGGGTTAGGATGTGTGTGTGTTTGTGTGTGTGTGTTTGCGTGAGTATACCTGGTCATTCATAACGACCATGTTTCGACTAAAGAGGTCGTGGTGTGTAATGATGCCAGTGAACCATTGGGTAGCTGAGTCTTGTCTATACACACGCACGCGGTAACCATTCAACGAATAGGGACCTGGAACAGAAAACAATGTTATGCTTCCACTGATAAGTAAATAACTTAACTGCAGGTTCCTCATATTGTACGACTCACTTACAGTAATGAGATGAATGACAACATGTTAAAATGACAGCCATAACTACACAAAACTCTACAACAATGGTACAGCATAGAAATACATTGGTGATACATTTATACTGGAATTAAAAAAGCTTACCTTGCATGAAAATTTCCTGCACCTTCTGGTCTTTGAGCCAAGCCTTCACTTCTTCATGGAGTTGATGGTTGTCTCTTAATACTGGGTTCTGACTGTCCACCTCATCCTGACACACACACAAACACACACGTTGGCAAAGAATCAGCATCAAACAGTCTGAAATGCACACTTGTTTAAATTAGCCCACACTGAGATAAGCATATCTCACACAATTTCTCCTCTTCGAGACAGTGAACAACAAATATTACAGAAATCACAGCCTGGTGCTACTACTACAGAAAATACGGAAAAACACACAATGTGGTGTTTTCATTGATATATTTGTTGTTTCTCTGTAGCGATGAGAGAATGTCAATTGATTTATTTCTGCCACGTCCTACTTTCATTTCAATGTGATTTATTTGGGAAAGTTTCAAATAAAGGAACAGTTCTGCTGTTGGGTGGGTCAGGGCCTTGATTCAGATTACATCAGTGGTGGAAATTAGGTCAGAGAAAGAGCTGCACTTTCATCACCAACCCCCTCCGGATGTAAAAGTCAAATTATTTAAAAAAGATCAATGTGCCACTTTACAAGATATTATATGAAAAGCTGCAGCAGGTTTCTTTTGTGCATCTGGTATCAAGCTATGGTGAAAATATTTGATTGTGGTCTGTAGACAATATGATACACACATCCCAACTTGTGGTCAGTATAGCTTTACAGACAGTACACACAAATGCACACAAATCCTCAGCAGCTTACAGGCTATCCATCAGCACTGAAAAGCCTTTGTTTTACACAGCAGGTCACAAAGGGTGAAAGAGATAAGATAGTAAAACAAAGTGGTGTTCAAAACTATTTCATATCAAACACACACAATGTAGAAATAGACTCGACACTGAAGGACGACAGGATGAGGAAGAGGAAACCACACTCTTTCACACCCTTTCTGATGTGTATCTCGAATTGTGTATGCACGTATGTGACACATCACGGATGAATCATCAGAATTAAATACTGAGCTTAAAAGCAAAACAGTTTGTAATGATGTTTGTCAATTTTAAAATGATACAAAAGTCCTATTCTGAGTGTTAGTGGGACAGAAATGAACTTCTCGGTGCAGAGAGAGAGAGTGGAAGAGCAGGAAATGTCTGACAGCAAACACAAAAGATTTATTGATCTATTTCATGAGTATTTTAAGCCAAATTGTGACTCAAATTCAGGCAAACACCCCAATCATAGCAGTGAATTACTGTTGAGATATTCTTCTCGAGACAATACCCTCTACAGTCTAAATGACATAAAAAGGACATTGTTCAGAACACAGAAATAAAAGCATATGAAGTGCAACCTGAGTATCTCCACACAGTGCCGAGCAGCTGGAGTCAAAGAGAGACACGGAGGCTGATCCTCAGCAGGAAGTGAAGCAGACAAAGTGAGTCTTTCATTTCACCTTCCCATCTCTCTGTCTCTCTCCATCTCTCTCTCTACTTCTGCTGCAGTGTTCCAGTTTCCCAGCCTCGTCCAGCTCTATCTCAAATCAGCATACACACTATAAATAGCACACTGGAAGGCAACCGAGGTCAGCATGTCTCTCATATATCCTTACAATTATTTCTATTACCACCATTAGGCCAAACATTAGTGCTGCACTGAGTGAAGAAAAAGTAAATGTCTGTATCCTGGTTAACAACATTCACCTCCAGAATGAAGCATAAAGAGCTGTCAGCACATAATAAAAGGGTTTTGGTATAACTATGCTTATATATTTGGGATTCTAAATCCGACCATGAAAGCTGGTGACACATTCAGTACCACAAATTGATCTTCACAAGAGATGGAGATTATCATGCATTAAAGCAGTACATTTTTGGATTTGTTTGGGGTTCAATCTTTCATTTTTCTATCATTCTACACACCAAATGCATCACACTTATGAATATGACATCTTTGAGGTGAAGGTATCGTGTCAACACTGGAGCTGGAGGTCCTTTCACCATAACAGTGACATAAATAGAACCTCAGCATCATAAAACCTCACTTTCCTCTGCCAACTATGTTTAATTTTACACTTGCAGAAAATAACACGTGAGTCTATTTCTGCTGCCACCCATCTATTCTGGCTCACCGCTGTCCTCTGTTTAGACATGACACACACAGAAAAGGTGTTACCAAGGCAACATGTCACCACGACCCCCCCATTGGTTTACTTCAACAGGCTGGAGAGAAATAGAACATGAGCACATTATATTCACTATGGCTGAATCACTGTGATTCAATTGTGATTCAAGTGCATTATTAAGTTAAAGAGACTATTAAGACTGGGCAATATACAACTACTACAGTATGACTTTAATTTACGTATTTCGAACACTGTAGTAATTGTCAATATTTCCCAAAACAACCCTAATACAGTCGGTGGTATTTAAGGAATGGCTACCACAGTGAGCATTATGATAAAAAACTCTGATGGTGACATATTTACATCATCTCATGGTTTATATTATCAAATCAGAGAAATCAGTCAACACAATACCAATAAACTGCAGCACTCTTTTAAAATTGTTTTCATATTTGAATCAAGTTTAGATATTTCAAAATAACTGAACTTCACTTTCAACTACACAATAAGTCCAACATGTACTGTATAAAAAATAAACGGCCACCTGCTATTATTATTGGAAACCAAATAAGATATTTTTAATTTTGTTTTACAGATGTACAGACACAACAGCCAGTCAAATACTTAAATATCCCCTGTATTAATGCCTATTTATACTGTACAATTAGCTTTTAATAAATGAAATGCCCCATTACAATGTCTGTGACACTAGATATGATTAGTAGAACTTTATAGCAGAAAACAAAATAGAACTTTGTCAGAAATATTATATAATTACAAACTACACACACAGTGTGTCCTCAACCTTTACTCTAACTGTCTATTACTGAAGGCTATTTGTTAAAGGCCGTCCGTGAATTACAAAGAGTGACATGAGGACTTCTTGTTCACCAGATAGTTAATAAAAAACAACAAATATGACACACATTGACATATATATGGAGACAAAGACAGATGGCTTGTTAAAGACTTCAAACAGCCTTCTTTTAGGGTTGCCATGGAGACTGCAGTGCTGAAGCAGAGGGAACAAACTGAACGATAGAGTTCCTGAGGTTATTCTTTTAAAACTGATGCTCAGGGACTAAAATGCAAAGGGACAAAAATGAAGGACATTTGTGGGTGTAGCATGATTTGTTAATGTAACAGAAGTTTCTTTAAGGTGTGACTGAGGACGCAGTATGTCCAAAGTACATTTTAGGAGGCTTTGCAGCATTGCAATTTTCAGCCACACACGCGCACATACAGATGTGACCACCACCTTCAAAAACACCATATCTGAAGTTGCTCGCACTTCTCTGTTACAACAGCCTGGGCTGCACTTGTTGGAAACAAAATCACCTTCATTCTGCAAATAAAACACGATTCCAGTGAGCATTTGATAATTTATTAATATGAAACGCAGTAATCCATTGTTTGGACTAGAGTGACACGTATTGTTTTCAAACCTCAGAGTTGAAGCTTCAGAGTAATTACAGTCTGTGACTATGCAGACTTTTTGAAATGTGTTTCCAACGCCTCATTACTCATCATTATTATACTTATTGCTATTATTAGAACTGCCAATACATGTGTTCACACGTTTACGTCATTTGTGTGTGATGGCTACTACTTCCCTCCTCCAACAGTCTGAGTCACTACACTTCTCTTGGTTTAAACTCATGAAAGTGCCGTCATCATATTGATATTGAGAGATTACTCCTTTGCAGATCGATTAAATATCGAATCTGTGTCACTGAAAGTAGAGACACCAATACAAGTCATTTTAAAGTTGCACCCAATGAAATTGAAGAGTGCTTTGGTCATTAATATCCCTGTTAAGTAATAGAAATTGCATTGACCTTATTCTGCATTGCTGCCTTTACTGGCTGTACTTCATATATGCAAAATACACACGAAAAAGCTGTTGCAGTTAAACACGTAACCCCCCCAGCCCCACCCCACACACAAACACACACACACACACACACACACACACACACACTTTGCACTTCCTGTGCAACCAAAAGAAAAACATTTTTGAGGATACACAATGCACTTGGTGTGATCTGATCAGCTAACCTTGCTGTTCACATACAGTAATAGTGTTTGAGTTGTAGTTAGAGGACCAATAAAAAGGTAAATGTGTGTTTGGATAGCAGATATCAAATATGTGCTCAAATTTAGTCCCTAGTTCTCTGATTCCTGATCAAACAAGGTGTGGATGGAGTCTTTCAGGAGGAGGGGGTATCAGAGCTTCAGTACCAGAGTGATCATATCAAATCCCTCTCTTTGTCGATTGAGAAAAATGTATAGTTCACTATTATAGAGCACAAGGTAACATCATTGCCTTCTTTTAATCAAGCAGACTCCGCACTCTGACTAATTGTATTACATTCTCTTGTGGTCACACTGCAGGATCTAAATATACTCCAACTGTTATTTTACTGGGAGCATCAGTTCATAATCAGTACATAATAAATCCATTATAATCAATTCAACAGAATTACAACTGGACTGCAGCATGTGATTAAATATGTCACATGCTTAAAGATGGATGGGTGTCAGCTGGCTCAGTCCCACACTGCCATGTAGATATACTACCTCGATCCTGAGGGATTTCTGACAGCCCGAAATGTTTTTTTGTAGGTTTTGTAGCAAGAGGGTAAAGATGGACTTTTACAACATTTTCAATCGACTAGTCTGCAATACGCCAAGAGCATCTGTGTTGATTTCATTTAATGTTGTTACCATTAGAGACGAACACTGCTCAGAAACTGCTGCTGGCACCGGCACAATATGCAGTGCTCTGTGTGTGTGTGTGTGTGTGTGTGTGTGTG